AGTCCCCGTTCAATCATCTGGTCAACCCCGAGACCCGATTCAGACATCAGGTCAACCCTGAGTCCCGCTTCAGACATCAGGTCAACCCCGAGTCCCGGTTCAATCATCTGGTCAACCCTGTGTCCCGGTTCAGACATCAGGTCAACCCTGAGTCCCGGTTCAGACATCAGGTCAACCTTGAGTCTCAGTTCAGACATCAGGTCAACCCTGAGTCCCAGTTCAACCACCCGGTCAACCCTGAGTACCGGTTCAATCATCTGGTCAAGCCTGAGTCCCGGTTCAACCATCTGGTCAACCCTGTGTTCCAGTTCAGACATCAGGTCAACCCTGAGTCCCAGTTCAGACATCAGGTCAACCCCGAGTCCCACTTCAGACATCAGGTCAACCCCGAGTCCCGGATCAATCATCTGGTCAACCCTGAGTCGCGGTTCAGTCCTCTGGTCAACCCTGAGTCCCTGTTCAGACATCAGGTCAACCCTGAGTCCCGGTTCAGACATCAGGTCAACCCAGAGTCCCAGTTCAGACATCAGGTCAACCCTGATTCCCAGTTCAATCATCTGGTCAACCCTGAATCCCAGTTCAATCATCTGGTCAAGCATGAGTCCCAGTTCAATCATCTGCTCAACCATGAGTCCCGATTCAGAAATCAGGTCAACCCTGAGTCCCGGTTCAGACATCAGGTCAACCCTGAGTCCCGGAGCAACCATCAGGTCAACCCTGAGTCCCTGAGTCCCAGTTCAACTATCTGGTCAACCCCGAGTCCCCGTTCAATCATCTGGTCAACCCCGAGACCCGATTCAGACATCAGGTCAACCCTGAGTCCCGCTTCAGACATCAGGTCAACCCCGAGTCCCGGTTCAATCATCTGGTCAACCCTGTGTCCCGGTTCAGACATCAGGTCAACCCTGAGTCCCGGTTCAGACATCAGGTCAACCTTGAGTCTCAGTTCAGACATCAGGTCAACCCTGAGTCCCAGTTCAACCACCCGGTCAACCCTGAGTACCGGTTCAATCATCTGGTCAAGCCTGAGTCCCGGTTCAACCATCTGGTCAACCCTGTGTTCCAGTTCAGACATCAGGTCAACCCTGAGTCCCAGTTCAGACATCAGGTCAACCCCGAGTCCCACTTCAGACATCAGGTCAACCCCGAGTCCCGGATCAATCATCTGGTCAACCCTGAGTCGCGGTTCAGTCCTCTGGTCAACCCTGAGTCCCTGTTCAGACATCAGGTCAACCCTGAGTCCCGGTTCAGACATCAGGTCAACCCAGAGTCCCAGTTCAGACATCAGGTCAACCCTGATTCCCAGTTCAATCATCTGGTCAACCCTGAATCCCAGTTCATTCATCTGGTCAAGCATGAGTCCCAGTTCAATCATCTGCTCAACCATGAGTCCCGATTCAGAAATCAGGTCAACCCTGAGTCCCGGTTCAGACAGCAGGTCAACCCTGAGTCCCGGATTAACCATCAGGTCAACCCTGAGTCCCTGAGTCCCAGTTCAACTATCTGGTCAACCCCGAGTCCCCGTTCAATCATCTGGTCAACCCCGAGACCCGATTCAGACATCAGGTCAACCCTGAGTCCCGCTTCAGACATCAGGTCAACCCCGAGTCCCGGTTCAATCATCTGGTCAACCCTGTGTCCCGGTTCAGACATCAGGTCAACCCTGAGTCCCGGTTCAGACATCAGGTCAACCTTGAGTCTCAGTTCAGACATCAGGTCAACCCTGAGTCCCAGTTCAACCACCCGGTCAACCCTGAGTACCGGTTCAATCATCTGGTCAAGCCTGAGTCCCGGTTCAACCATCTGGTCAACCCTGTGTTCCAGTTCAGACATCAGGTCAACCCTGAGTCCCAGTTCAGACATCAGGTCAACCCCGAGTCCCACTTCAGACATCAGGTCAACCCCGAGTCCCGGATCAATCATCTGGTCAACCCTGAGTCGCGGTTCAGTCCTCTGGTCAACCCTGAGTCCCTGTTCAGACATCAGGTCAACCCTGAGTCCCGGTTCAGACATCAGGTCAACCCAGAGTCCCAGTTCAGACATCAGGTCAACCCTGATTCCCAGTTCAATCATCTGGTCAACCCTGAATCCCAGTTCAATCATCTGGTCAAGCATGAGTCCCAGTTCAATCATCTGCTCAACCATGAGTCCCGATTCAGAAATCAGGTCAACCCTGAGTCCCGCTTCAGACATCAGGTCAACCCCGAGTCCCGGTTCAATCATCTGGTCAACCCTGTGTCCCGGTTCAGACATCAGGTCAACCCTGAGTCCCCGTTCAATCATCAGGTCAACCCTGAGTCCCAGTTCAGACATCAGGTCAACCCTGGGTCCCAGTTCATGCGTCAGGTCAACACTGAGTCCCGGATCAGACATCAGGTCAACCCTGAGTCTCAGTTCAGACATCAGGTCAACCCTGAGTCCCAGTTCAACCATCCGGTCAACCCTGAGTACCGGTTCAATCATCTGGTCAACCCTGAGTCCCGGTTCAATCATCTGGTCAACCCTGGGTTCCAGTTCAGACATCAGGTCAACCCTGAGTCCCAGTTCAGACATCAGGTCAACCCTGCGTTCCAGTTCAGACATCAGGTGAACCCCGAGTCCCGGTTCAATCATCTGGTCAACCTTGGGTTCCAGTTCAGACATCAGGTCAACCCTGAGTCCCAGTTCAGACATCAGGTCAACCCCGAGTCCCCGTTCAATCATCTGGTCAACCATGAGTCCCGGATCAATCATCAGGTCAAGCCTGAGTCCCGGTTCAATCATCTGGTCAACCCTGAGTCCCGGTTCAGACATCAGGTCAACCCTGAGTCCTGGTTCCGACATCAGGTCAACCCTGAGTCCCGGTTCTATCATCAGGCCAACCCTGAGTCCCGGTTGAATCATCTGGTCAACCCTGAGTCCCGGTTCAGACATCAGGTCAACCCTGAGTCCCGGTTCCGACATCAGGTCAACCCTGAGTCCCGGATCAATCATCAGGTCAACCCTGAGTCCCAGTTCAATCATCAGGTCAAGCCTGAGTCCCGGCTCAATCATCTGGTAAAGCCTGAGTCCTGGTTCAATCATCAGGTCAACCCTGAGTCCCAGTTCAGACATCAGGTCAACCCTGGGTTCCAGTTGAGACGCCAAGTCAACACTGAGTCCCGGTTCAGACATCAGGTCAACCCTGAGTCCCTGTTCAATCATCAGGTCAACCCTGAGTCCCAGTTCAGACATCAGGTCAACCCTGAGTCCCAGTTCAGACATCAGGTCAACCCTGGGTTCCAGTTCAGACGTCAGGTCAACACAGAGTCCCGGTTCAGACATCAGGTCAACCCTGAGTCCCGGTTCAATCATCAGGTCAACCCTGAGTCCCGGTGCAGACATCAGGTCAACCCTGCGTTCCAGTTCAGACATCAGGTCAACCCCGAGTCCCGGTTCAATCATCTGGTCAACCCTGGGTTCCAGTTCAGACATCAGGTCAACCCTGAGTCCCAGTTCAGACATCAGGTCAACCCCGAGTCCCAGTTCAATCATCTGGTCAACCATGAGTCCCGGATCAATCATCAGGTCAACCCTGAGTCCCGGTTGAATCATCTGGTCAACCCTGAGTCCCGGTTCAGACATCAGGTCAACCCTGAGTCCCGGTTCCGACATCAGGTCAACCCTGAGTCCCGGATCAATCATCAGGTCAACCCTGAGTCCCAGTTCAATCATCTGGTCAACCCTGAGTCCCGGTTCAGACATCAGGTCAACCCTGAGACCTGGTTCAATCATCAGGTCAACCCTGAGTCCCGGTTTCAATCATCTGGTCAACCCTGAGTTCCGGTTCCGACATCAGGTCAACCCTGAGTCCCGGATCAATCATCAGGTCAACCCTGAGTCCCAGTTCAATCATCAGGTCAAGCCTGAGTCCCGGTTCAATCATCTGGTCAACCCTGAGTTTCGGTTCAGACATCAGGTCAACCCTGAGTCCCGGTTCCGACATCAGGTCAACCCCGAGTCCCAGTTCAATCATCTGGTCAACCATGAGTCCCGGATCAATCATCAGGTCAACCCTGAGTCCCGGTTCAATCATCTGGTCAACCCTGGGTTCCGGTTCAGACATCAGGTCAACCCTGCGTTCCAGTTCAGACGTCAGGTCAACCCTGAGTCCGGTTTATACATCAGATCAACCCTGAGTCCCGGTTCAGACATCAGATCAGCCCTGTGTCCCAGTTCAGACATCAGGTCAACTCCGAGTCCCAGTTCAGACATCAGGTCAACCCTGAGTCCCCATTCAACCATCTGGTCAACCCTGAGTCCCCGTTCAGACATCAGGTCAACCCTGAGTCCCGGTTCAGACATCAGGTCAACCCTGGGTTCTGATTCAATCATCAGGTCAACCCTGAGTCCCATTTCAATTATCAGGTCAACCCTGAGTCCTAGTTCAATCATCAGGTCAACCCTGAGTCCTGGTTCAGATATCAGATCAACCCTGAGTCCCGGTTCAGTCGTCAGGTCAACCCTGAGTCCCGGTTCAATCATTAGGTCAACCCTGGTTTCCAGTTCAGACGTCAGGTCAACCCTGGGTTCCAGTTCAGTCAGGTCAACCCTGAGTCCCGGTTCAGACATCAGGTCAACCCTGAGTCCCGTTTCAGTCGTCAGCTGAACCTACTATCATGGTTCCTACTCAGACTTGGCTCAGGCGGTGAGTGGGGAGAGAAGCAAACAGGCCTCTGCAGAAGGACCGGCCTCAGGTCCAGGCAGGCATGAGGACTGAGTGCTCTGGCTTTGGGAGGAGGCCTCTGGCCTGTGGCTCTGAGCAGAGCTGCTGTGTTGCAACTGCTCTCTGAGGGCTGTTTCGAGCAGCCCTCAATGTACCCACCTTCCTGCAGCTCCCTCTCCACCATCCAGCCTCCCAGCAGCTTCATAAGAGGTCCCCGGTCAATGCTGGGTGGGGGGGGCGATGGAGGGGTCCCCCAGCCCTGGTGGCCAGCCCGTCCCCAAGCCAGAGGCCCTCCTGCAGGGCTGCAGGCTCTTACCAGCACTGTGGTGACGATGAGCGACCTATTTGTCAGAGAGTCGGTGACGTTAGGGCCTCGGCCTTTGGCGACCTCTGTGATGTTGAGCCCCTCGGCAGGACTCCATACCCCGACCTGGGTGGAGACAGACAGACAGCAGGGTGCTGAGTCCTCAGTCTCTCCGTCCTGTTCCCACATCGACAAGCCCATTGTCCTGATTCCAATCTTCATCCATCACGGCCGGGGCTGACATGTTTGGCACTCACCTTTCCGACTAGCCTGCTGTCTCCCTCATTCTAAGAGGAGCCCCCCAGGGGGCGAGTCTCCTGGATTCTGCCACATCTCCGTTGGTGGCAAACCCTCCCCAGAGGCAGGTGCAGATGCAGAGGTAGGGTGAACATGGAGACTGCCCGGTAGGAACTGTCCTGGTTGGAACAGATGCCATGAGGACATCAGGGGTCAGGGTCGGGGTCGGGTCCTCCCGGGGACAGAGTAACTCTGAGCCTGGTGGGCCCCCATCCCGAGGGGAGGACCCAGGCACCCAGCTGCTCACTCCCTGGGTCTCAGCTCCAGTGGCAGCTCTGGGGCCAGATGCTCTCCAAACCCAGGACAGGGCCCGGAGCAGGGAGACATTCACTAGCGCCTGTGGGATGAGTACAGGGATGACAGGGTGCATCACACACAGGAAGGCAGACTGGGCAGGAGGCCGGTCTTGCTCACTGTTTTGGGGATGGCAGAACAGAGTGGATGACCCTCCCCAGGGGCCGTGGATGCTGCTGGGATTTGTGGCTTTACTTCCCAAACTGGCAGATATCCTGGGCTAAAGGCGGCTTAAGCTCTGTCCCCACAGTGCCCTTGTTGCTATCAGGCCTGAGGCGGCGGGGAGGCCAGAAAAGATCAAGTTTACAAATAATTCTAAAGCCCTGGACCACTTAAAGATCCTTTAGGACCCAAGTCTGCCCAGCCCTGCCCCAATCTCAGCTCTTATCTCTCAAGGATGGTTTCAGCATGCCCACTCTGTCCTTGGCCCAGTGGGGAGTTCCCAAGGAAACTTAATCAATTAAACTGAGCAGCTGAGTGCAAACATCCCACTAATGGAGCTGTGCAAGGCAGATAGCAGACAGACATGTAATTATGCTTGGGTAATTCTGCCTTAATCCTCCCAAAGCCACTGGCTGGAGCTGGCTGGATCAGCTACGACCCAGCTTAGCAAACAGAAGTGATGGTATGAGAGGCAGAGGGGCTGTGCTTGGGGGCTCAGTGCCCTCTCTAGGCAGGATCTCTGTCTTTGCAGACCCCCCAGGGCAAGAGGAGAGCAGACAAGGAGACAGCTTGAAAGATGCTCTTCTCTCAAGTGGGCCGAGCTCAGCACGAGGGGCCCCAGCAGCATGCCTGGTGCAGGAGGTACTCAACAGACTCTGTCTAGAGGCCAAATGAACAGCAGGAACCCTTGCCCTAGAAAGCATCCACTGAGCTCCAACTGCATGCGCTGCTGGACACCAGGAACCATGGGGGTGTGAGATTGTCAGGACTGAGGAGGACCCAGCCTGCAGAGGTCTCTGCCCCGAATCTGGGTGGCTGGGATCAGGAGCCTCTGAGGGGGGCCTCTGCGGGTCCACCTTAGTCCAGGAAGAGCAGAGAGAGTTTTTCTTAAGTATTAGCTGTGATCAATTTGTACCTGTGGAGAGGGATGCTGTGGGTGGGCTCTGACGACCAATTACTGATGCCAGCCACAGGCACAGGAGTGAGAAGTGGGGGCACGTGTGCAACCCAACTGCCATCCTTAGAACTTGAGGCTACCCTCAGAGAACAAAGATGAGAGAGCTACTTGAGTGCATACTGCATTGCAATGGCACTGCCCGAGGGGGCGGGAGCTCCCCAGCACCGGGGGAGTTTAAATAGAGGCGGGAAGACTGCTTAACGACAACTCACATACTGTGTGTAGGGCTGGATCAACTGGCCTTGAAGATTTTAGGAGCGGAGGCCACAGCCCTTGTCCTTGAGGGACTGATGCTGTATTTGGCAGGAAAGAGTTGCAGAGTTATGGTGGAGTTTCCCGGGCCACCCCTCCCCAGAGGCCCTGTGAATCTGTGGGAAACTCAGGAGCCAATGGAGTAACCTTGGTCACCAGGTGCGACCCAGGCAGAGCCACGTCTGTCAGTGGGAATGAAGCCAGGAGAGGAGGCCACTCCTGCAATCAGGGCGCTGCATCACATGGGTGAAGGCCCAGGGTGCAGGAGGGAGGGAGTGTGACTGGACCGTGGCAAGTGCTGCAGGGGACAGTGGAGACCAGGCCTGGAGAGGAAGGTTGGGAATTTCTTGGAGAACGTCAGAGGCTGGGACAGGGGCTGTCGCCTACTGACTCGGCACAGGGGGCCGTGGGCAGAGTCAGGGCAGGGCAGAGCTGTGCTTGGGACGCGTCACCTGTGTGTACACTCTGATGGCTGAGGGCTCAGGAGTGGAGGTGGAAAGCAGGTGGAGTGTCAGAATAACCGAAGGAAGAGGCCTGCTCCAGGGCGGGCCGGGAGAAGAGGGATCAGTGAAGGCCCCAGGCACCAGGGCTGGCCCCGCACTTCCTGGCTTCTGCTCCCTGTATTTTACACACTTCACTCCCAGGGCCGGAGCGGTGCCCTGGCGGCCACCAGGGGCCAGCCTGCTGCGGGGTGAGAGTGTGGCTGAGCTCCTGGCCCCGCGGTCCAGGGAACCTGGGAATGGGGGCTAATGTTAACTCCCACTTCTCAGTCCAGCAGCCCGACTCTGCCGGAAGGTACCTGAGGTTCCCAGGCTCAGGTCGGGCCACCTTACAGGCATTCCTATGGCAGTCAGTTGGGAGCCCCCAGGCCCAGGTGGGCTGGCTTTCCTTGTCCAAACCCCCTGGGATCATAAAGGCCTTAGAAACGTAGGCCAGTTCAGAAACCACATGCTTCAACCTCTCTCCAAGTGTAAGAGTCACCTGTAGAGTCCTAGAAAATCAACTAATTTGTTCAGTTTTTGTTTAAATGCCTCCAGTGACAGTGAGCTCACTACTCCCCAGGCAGACACCCCTGGGCCTTAGAAAGTTTCTCTTACCCAAGCTTATGTCTGTCCCTTTGCCCCGTGACAGCCCTGCAGAGACTTACGGACAATCTGCCCCATGAGTCCTCCTTCACTTTTCCCAGGTTAAACATCCCGATGGTCCTTGCTCTGATGGTTTGGGTGTCTGCCGTGGCCAGGCCACTGGGTTCTGCACCCCTCGTCTGACCAGGGCTTTGTGTTCTCTGAAGGGCCAAGGCACAGGCCACGCCAGGTCCTGTCAAGCCCTAACGTGGCAGCTACACTGGGTCTCGCCCCCTCCCGCTCCTGAACCCACGTACCTTCTCCAGGCCATCCTCCTTCAGACTGATGATGTCCAGATCGAAATCGGTCCGTAAGCCACTGGTTTTGTTGAAAACAATCCGTCCAGTTAATCCTTCCCATTGAGCCTGCCGGAGAGGAGAGGGCAGAGCGGCAATTCCTCGGGCTCATAAATCATCATTCGGTACAACTGTACAATGCTTCATTTTAATTACTCCTTGCACTGATACTGTTCCCCCAAGACCATGATTAATTAATAATCACCTCCATCATTGCTCGGGCTGTGGTGCGAGCCAGCGATTTCCATAAATTCTATTATGCTCTTTAGCCAGCTTTACATCTGCACCTTCCCGTGTACAACATCGATCTCAGACGCACTCAAATGAGTCCCCGCCTCGAAACCACGGGAAGGGGAAGCCCGAGTCAGGTCCCCAGAGAGGGGCAGGGCAAGGCAGGCGAGACCTGCTGAGAGGCAGAAAAGCCAAGGGGCCAAGTCAGCCCTGGCTGGAAGACCCAGCGCTTGGAGTGGCCCCCAGAGAGCCAGGGGACACAGAGAAGGTCGCCCCGGCCACCCCAGCCCCCGCCCTGTGGCAGCAGAATGCTAGATTCAAACTCAGTTCGCTGTGTGACCCTGGGAATTTCACCACCTGCTCTGCCTCGGTTCTTCATCTACAAAATGAAACGCACAACAGTACCCATCTTACCAAAATGCGACGAGGCTAAAGGAGGTAAGTCCTGTAAAATACTTATAGCGGTGTCTGGTACAACCCGAGGCCTGAATAAAACGGTAGTTCTTCCTAGCATCATCAACACAGAGAGAGGCAGACAGGTTCAGAGAAGGTTCAGGACCTAACTTGAGAAGAGCTCCATCTTCTAGATCAGAGGGTGACCAGGGACCTGCCGGGTGCTTGGCTCGGTAAACAGTTTCCCGGCTCACAGCCATGCCCATGCATTCACTTATGTCTTTGGCTGCTTTTTTTTTTTTTGATACAACTTCGGAGCTGAGTAGTTGCCACAGAGACTGTTGGGCCAGCACAGCCTAAACTATTTACTGTCTCGCCCTTTGCAGGCAGTTTGCCGGTGGGTCCAGAGAGTTAGCTCTACGTGGTACTCACACTGTGCGCACCATGTGACCGGCACAGCAGTCCCGGCGGGTGATGAGTCCGATTCACAGACGAGGACCCCAAGCTCACAGAGGGGATCCGAGGGTGAGCTACACTGGAGCTGGGGTCCCAGGGCTCCACCCTCAGACTGGAGCGGTTTCCAGCTCTCCCTCCTACCTTGGGGTTTGGACACAGCAGGCACACAGTGTGGCTTTGTGTGTCTGGGGAAAGAACAAACCCACACGTCCTGGAGTGTGTAGGCTGGGAGTTCAGGGAGGGAGGAAGTCTGGGAGCTCACACAGCCGGCTGGCCCCAGGGTCCAGAGCACGGCAGGAGGGGAGGTCTGACTATGAGTCCTTGCTTGGCTACACTTAGTGCCTCATCTGGGGTCACGGTCCCTTACAGGTTCTGGAAAAGGCTCCCAGCCTCTCCTTGGCTGAATGTCTCCTGTACCCCCACTCACACTGGGACACACCAGTTCATGGGTTCACAGCTGCCTGCTGATCCGAACCTGAAACATTTACCCATCCGTAAGCACTTGACAGCTCTAAGGCACTGGACAGTCTTCCCCATAAGTGCCTGGCCGGCGCACAGGTGGACTAGCCCAGCGCCCCAGAGGGCTCCCGGAGGCTGTAAAACCAAAGCGGTTAGAGTGTACGCTTCACACAAGGAATTTGACCTCTCTGAGCTTCAGGAAGGGGAACACTGTCGACTTTGCTGGTGTTCAAGGGGTGTGCGGAGCACTGAGCACGGTGCTCGACATGCAGCGGCCCCCCCATCTGCGGTTCTGCTTTCCCCGGTTTCAGTTACCCGTGGTCCGGAAATATTAAGTGCAAAGTTCCAGAGAGAGACAGTCCCGACGTTCTCAACGGCGCCCATTCTGAGCAGCGCGATGAAACCCTCCCTTGGTCTTCCAGCGCATCCACGCTGCGTACACTCCCCGCCCGTCAGTCGCCGAGTCGCCATCTGGGTTGTCAGACCGACAGCCACAGTATCGCAGTGTTTGTGTCCAAGTGACCCCTATTTGACTCAACGGCCCCAAGTGCAGGAGCCATGCTGGCAATTCGGATAGGCCGGAGGGAAGCCGTCAAGCGCTTCCTCTAAGTGAAATGGGGAAAGTTCTTGACTTAATATGGAAAGAAAAAACTGTGTACGCTGACGTTGCTAAGATCTATGGTAAGAACAAATCTTCTACCATGACATTGCCTAACTTATAAATTAAACTTTATCATAGAGACTTCATCATATGTGTAGGAAAAGCATAGTCTACATAGGATTTGGTACTGTCTGCGGTTTCAAGCACCCACTGGGGAAGGGGGTTTGGGGCCCCTGCAGACAAGGGGGACCACTCTATACAGTCCCGACTAAGCGGCATAAACCATTATTTCTCCTTGTCGCTTCCATGCAGGAGCGCCATTGGGTTAGGGCCGGCCCTGGGCTCCGGGGGAGGGGGCCACGCGAGCTGAGGCCTGAGGCCTGAGGTGAAACCTGCCACAGAGGACTCATCTCTGTACGAGCTCATTCAGTTTTCTCACGATCCTGCTGGGTGGGTGTCACATTGCCCCCATTTTATAGTCATGGACACTGAGCTCAAAGAGGGACGGGGCTGTGCAGGCCCAGGCACAGCTGCAGCCGCTCTGCAGGGCAGGGCTGAAGAGCACAGGTCATCGCTCTTGAGCTGAGAGGGGAGATTTATGGAGCCCAGGGGGCTGGAGGGGCTGGGGTCGGAGATTAAAGATGCCCCAGGGAAGGTGAAGACCGCTGCCTATGACCTTGAGGGAAGGCTCCGCTTCTCTCAGGTGCTTCCCAGTCCCCCTGCCTCCCTCTTGGTCTGTGGGCTTCCACACCCCAGGCTACCTCCTGGCCCCCAAGGGAAATCACAGCAGGTGCCTTCAAGCCTGCGCTCTTGAGGGGAGCCTTCCTCCTCGTCAGCTCCAGAGGAACTAAATGCCAGCAGGTGCGCTGCCTGTCTGTGGGCAGCGGGCAGGGCCAGGGCCAGGGCAGGGAGCCACTGGCAGCTCCTCCCCGTGACATTTCCCGGCCCTCCCGCCCCTTCCAGCCGAGGCTCAGGACTCACTAAATGAAAGATGCTTCACACGCTCTGAACTCCGGCCTGGCATTTTCCAGCTCCTCTTGGAAATGCCAGGTCTTTAAAATGATTTACTGTCATGCAGTCAGATGGGGAGACAGGCAGTTGAGAAACGGTCTGAGGGAAGACCGTGCTGGGGTCCGGCAGGGCACCGGGGGCCTGGTCCTAGCCAGCTGTGGGACTGTGGACCAGCCACGTGGCTGCTCTGTGCCTCTGTCTCACACCTCAGGGTAAGACCAAGATGTTCCTGAAAGGGCTCTGTAAAGATGTGTGTGAGTGGTGAGGCCATTCATGGGGCCGGGGCCAGGAAACAGGAGGGCCAGGCACCCCGACACGGGCGTGCCCTGGGGGGAGAAGGGGGCTCCCCTTTCTTTGGCGTGGACAGCGGTGATTCTGCTCCCATCAGGGCTTCACCACTGAGCCTCAAGCATTCCAAAGGATGAGGGGTGAACAGAGTGGGGGTCCCTGAAAGTATGAGGCCTGGAGACTGTCTGTAGCTAAAACCCCACCATGGAACAAGAAGCCATAGTGATGGCAGTTGTGATGGTAGAAACGACAGTGATAGCAGCCAATCTGCTCCGCGCTGCTCTGTGCCAGGCGCCGTCCTGGTCTCACACACCCAGCTCACTCAATCCTACCACGCCCTGGTATTACCACCACTGTGCAGAGCAGGACCTGAAGCACAGAGAGGTTCCGGAGCTTGTCGAACCTAAAAGTGGCTAAGGTTCAGAGCCACTTTTGTCTGGCTCCTAAGGGTCCCAGGGTTGTGGCCGGAGTCACCAGACACTCATGCTGGCCTCTGGCTACTTAGGGAGGTAGGAGTCAGGCCTCAGAGTTCACTGAGAACAAGCCGACGGTCACCCAGGCCAACCAGGCTTTGCTCAGGGCAGTGGTCAATCGAACAACCTCTGTAATTTCGAGGGGATGAATCAGAAGGGACCATCATCACCCTCTTATACCAAAACTATGGCCTAGAGTCCCTCCCAGGAGCGAGGGAACTGGGGCCAAGGACATAACTGCTCCCTCACAATGACCACGGGATGGTGTTTTCCAGGTGACGAAACTGACACTCGGGGATGTCTAAAGCCACAGAGCTGGGAAGAGGTGGACACAAACTCCAAAGGCACATGCCTCAAACTCTCACACCTGTGTCTCACCCATATTCCTGTTGGTGACATTCTAAAATGTCCCAGCCCTATCCCAAGCGGTCGCAGCGAGTGAGAGACCTCCGGGGAAGCTGCCCCGTCCACCAGTGTAAGGTGGTGGCTTCCGGTGTTATTCACCCTCCCGGCTCTGCCGTCCTCCGGCGTGGGATTGCATCCACCCCTGTGATGGCTGAGGTCTGCCCAGCTGTGAGCTCTGTGAGTGAGGGGCGCATCTGCCCTGCTCCCTGCCTGGCACCCAGCAGGCCCACTGTGATGGCTGAGGTCCTCTGCCCAGCTGTGAGCTCTGAGTGAGGGGCGCATCTGCCCTGCTCCCTGCCTGGCACCCAGCAGGCCCACACAAGTGTCTGTTGACTCAATGAATTCCCAAGGCAGCTGGTTGCTCCAGAGAGATGGTCTCTACGGAGCCCTTCTGGATAGCTTCCTTAAGGGTACTTGGTGTTGCCCTGGACAGGGTCACTCTCTCTAACCCAGGACCTCCCTGCCCAGACTTCGTCACCCCGAACCTCCTTCATCTACCATGGACTGGGATTTGACGGTGCCCAGCCCCGGGCTAGGGTGCTCTGCGCATAGTTCTCCACTGTCTTCCCAACAACCTTTGAGGCAGGCACTCTTACTACCTTCATGATACAGCTGAGGAAACAGGATCCGAATTAGTCATCTCACCCAAAACCACACAGTCATTTGGGAAGGAGCCAGGATGCAAGCCCACACCTTAGCTTCATCCATCTGTAAAATGGGAACAATACACTGCCATCCATAGTTTGCAAAGACAGCAGTGTTGGAGAGAGTCCTTTGAAATTAAAAGTAGGCACTGTGTGTTTCCATGGTCACCTTCTCAGCAGCAGGACAGGTTTCTGCTCTCTGCTTCCTTGGAATCAGCTCCAGGGACGGGACTTCACACGGTGCCAGGAGAGCTGGTCCGGGAGGGGGCCCTGGCTGGGGAGGGGGCCAGGGGGTCCATGACATAAAGAGGAGTCTGTGGGGCTGACTGCTGTTTCCTGGGCCCCCTCTGCCTGCTGCACTGCACGGAGCACGTCCACGTGGCCCCTTTCGTCTCCACACCATCCCCATGAGGTTGGAACGCTTCGTACCGCCGTGGACAGGGGAGACAATCAAGGCTCAGCAAGGTGCCTGAGTCTGCCCAGGGTCACACAGCCAGAGGTAAAGCATCATCGCTTGTGCCTGAAGCCCATGCTGCATCCTGCTGACGATGCTGACCACCCGCTGAGCACCTACTATGTGTCAAGGATAGCCTTCAATCACCCTGTAAGACTGGTCCTATCATGCCCATTTTCATCCAAGGAAAGTGAGACTCAGAGATGTAAGGCAACTTGCCCGAGTTCAGGTGGATTAAAAATGGAATCTGACTCCCCAACCTGAGCCCTTGATGGCTCTGCAGCACCCACGATCCCCCAGGAGATGGCCCTGATGGGGAACGCGGGGGGCGCTTACCTCCTTGATGAAATTCATGAAGCGGCCGCCAAAGCGCCAAGCCTTGTGCCGGTGGCATTGCAGGGAGTTCACGGTCATCTGGGGTGCCCGCTGGTAGCACACGGACACGATGTGGACAGCGTCATACAGTAAGGCGGCGTCGGTCTGGAAGGGAGGCCCCGGGCCCGCCTGAGAATAGCTCCCGGAGCTCTCTGCCACCCTGCCCTGGCCCTCCCCTCCCCCACCACAGGCCAGGGGTCCTGGTGAGAGGTCAGGCCTGGGTGACTCTGCTGCTCTGTGGACACCCGGCTCTGCTCTGCAGCTGACCTTCTGGGCCATCCCTCCCACCCAGCCCCCGCCCCACAGCTGCCTTCGCCCTGCCGCACCATCTCCTCCCGCCTCTGCTGGTCACAGCGAAAGTCCTCCATGCCCAGGATCCGCTGGTCCTCATCCCAACTCTGTAGCCAGCTGTTTACATCTGTGCTCCCAACCTTGGCATGGACTGTGTCTGACTCTGTGTCCTGGCCCCTAGCCTAGGGTCTGCTGGCACATCAGAAGGGGTGGTGGGACAGAAGTAAGAGATGGGGATGGAGGAGGGAAGGAAGGAAGGAGAGATGGGAAGGAAGGAGGGAAGGAGGAAAGGAGGGAAGGAATGTAGGAAAGAAGGCAGGGAAGAAAAAAGGAAGGAAAAAGAAAGGAAAGGAGGAAGAAGGAGAGGGAGAGAGGGAGGAAGAAGGAGAGGGAGGGAGGGAGGAAGAAGGAGAGGGAGGGAGGAAGGAAGGAGAGAGAGCAGAGAGAGCGAGGGGAGCCCCTACATCTGCCCTCCCTGCTTCCTTACCATCATCACTCCGTCCAGCAGACCGGACTCGGCCCGGGGAGCTGCCTGCAGCCGCTCCATGGACCACTTCTCCACGATGGCCGAGACGTGGGGGTTGTCCACGTTGAGGATCCGGAACCCTGTCAGGTTCACCCCCGAATAGCGGTAGGGTTCCAGGTCTAACGCATAAAGATCCTGACAGAGAGAGGACGTGGACATAAGGTGTGTCCGCTGAAGTCAGCTCCAGCCCCCGCCCGCACTCCCTGCTGTCCCCACGCCCTGGCTGCAGCTCCTGCAGGGCCCGGAGGTAAGGCCGCTGGTGAGGGAGCCCCCCTGGAGCACTGCCCTTGGCGGCCACTGGAACCCCGTCCGCCTGGTGGCCGACCCCAGTACTCACTGCCGGGCCTCGGACAGTCACCGGGACTGTTTCTTCATCTACTAAGTGGGACCATACCTCCTTTATAGGACCTGGTAAAGCAGTCCTTACTAAACACCCGGCCCCAAACAGTAGCTTGCAATAGTCATAATGGCCATCTCCTCCAATGGGGAGGCCCACTCCGCGGTGTTGGGTCTGGGCACCTCCAAGGCACCCAGAGTGAGGCTGAAGGAAGTATTTTACTCCCCACAGGAGGGTACTTTAAGTCTTTTCTGCCGGGGACTGAGAAAGTACAACTGCCCCGGCCCTCTTCTCTCCCCTCGTCCCCCACATTACGGGCCAGGGCCTCCACCCCTGCTGCTTGGAGCAGCTGCCCGTGGTCAGCCTGCCTGTCTGCGCCGGGCCACGTCCAGGCTGGTGCAATGGGCACGGCCTGGCTAAGGCCAGGAAAACAGGCCTGAGTGCAGGAGGCAGCCCAGCTCCGCCCCTCCCTGCAGCTCCAGGGAAGGGTGCAGACACAGAGGGAGAAGGCGGGTGTTACGCTGAAAGAGATGGCGTTGGGGGCGGGGTAGCATGAGGGGCAGAGCAGAACTCTATCCTGTTAGAAAACTTACCCCAAACTTGGAAATAAGCAGGAGAGCAGCATGAAAACATGGTTCACCTGCCCGCCCAGGACGGTGTGGTTCTCCCAGAGAACATACCTGGGGCTGACTTCACGCTCAGCTACTGGTTAAAGGCCCAGATTCTGGGTTCCCTTGTAGATTTCTGTCCATTGCATCTACTCCTTACCTCAGTTTCCTTATTTGCAAAATGGGATGACAGTAGTACCCTTCACATAGGATTGGCATGAGGAAGAAATGGTATACTTATGTGTTTGACAAATATTCACTTTCTGCCTTCTCTGGCGGCAGGTGTGATGGCCACTGGACACAGCCCCCAGGGACATGACTGGGTCATTGGAGGAGAGAGGCAGACATGAGTTAGGTCCTTCCTCCTTCCTCCTCTTGGCAACATAAACACAATTACGATGGGCTAACATTTACTGAGCACCTATCAACCTCAGAACAGCAGGCCGTGTTCCACGTGGCCTCAGTGCATTAAGTCAGTTCATATTTCCTCTTTACAAGGAGGCGTTAGCATCACCCCATGTCGGGGGAATGAGCTGCAGAGAGGTTAGGTCTTTTGCTCAAGGCTGCACAACTGGGCAGCAATGGCATCGAACCCTCTGCCCTGTGATGATACACGCTCCCCCTGCCCCCAGTTTACATGCACCTGACATTACAGTCACCCCACACACATTCAGAGGGGTCTTTCTGAAGGACAGACCCAGCCCTGTCACTGCCGTGCTTAACATATTTCAATGGATCCTTTTCTGCTTCTCAGAAAACTGCAAATACTTTAGTATAGTTTACAAAGCTCTTGGCTCTCTGGCCTCACTTTCCTTCCCACGCCCTCCCATTTTTTGCCCAGGAACCCCAAACTACTTTTGTCCCCTTTCCCCATTCCTCACTGGCCCCTGCCCCCATCATGCAGCTTCTCATCTCCGGAGCCAGTGCCGTTGTGTGCGCTCTATCCCTAGGCCAGAACGCCTGTCTTCTCAGCTCTTCTTGGGTGGGCTAGTCTCTGAGGTTCAGCTCCTGTCACCTCTTCCAGGAAGCCTCCCTGACTACTCCTCTACACATGTACGATAGGGTGGGTCAGGGGTGCTTCTGCTCTTATCCTGGGGCCTCTGGGATTTCACCCCCCGATAACAATGGTCTATGTCTGTGTCTGTCTCCCCTATGAGCCTTGGAGCCTGTCAACCAAAGTGGAAGTTAGGTTCAGCCAGCTGAGTAGCTTTCTAGGGCACCTAAACATCACTGGGAGGACTCTCAGGTGGAGAGACTAATGTTTCACACCCTCAGGGAGAGCTCTCTGTGGCGCTGAAGGTTAGGAGTGGTTTGGTAAATTACCTGGGTGGAGGATAACGCCTCAAGGGGACTGCTTCAGGAACAAGAAACCTTCCCTAAGCCACTGCTGAAGAAGGTGGGTCTGGGGAGATGCAGGGATTTTGTCTTGTGGTGCGGTGTCTGCAAGCCTGGGGCCAGAGCAGAATAGCTGGGGCCATGGAAGAGAAGCTGCGCTCTGCCCCCAGGGGGCGCCCTTCTCGCTCTTCCCCAGCACAGGGCTCAGCCTCTTCTCCAATTCAGTGTGGACCTGCCCCCTAAGGCCTGAAAGGTGCCAAGGCATCTGCCTGCCCAGGTCCTCTGCTCCTCTAGGATCCGACGACAACTGGATTCAGTGGGAAGGGCACATCTCTGGCTTCAGTGCTGGTGACAACAGCCCTTCCGGTCCTGGATACAGCCTTCGTTCTGTTGACACTTACACAGAGGCTGGGAGGGGCATGGTGGGGGGGTCAGTGTTGGGGTCACCTTCCTCCCTGTCACCTCGAGCGGTGGTGCCAAATGCGCCATCTCTGGGACATGAGGGCAGCGACAGCAGGGAGCCGGTAAAGAGGCCTCTTTGTCCAGCTCCAATTTTTTCATCCAAATCGCCCCAGGCTGAGACCCCAAGTGCTGTACACAGTGAACTGTGCGCAACCTTGCCGCTTGGCAGAAAGTTGCTGCTCCCCATGCCAAATGTTGACACACTGAATTCAGTAGCGACGAGGGACCTTTTAGAAACATTCAGCATAACATAATAGACTAATTCATTAGCACCCCATGGGTCTGACTGGGGAGAAGCTGAAGCTCGGAAAACATCGCCTTAAGGAATGACAGATGAAAATATCTTCCCCATGATATAACTGTTATTGCCGGGAAGTGGCATTAATTGTGATTGCTTATCTATTAATTTATTATAATTCTTTTTTCACCCCCAGGCTTTTACCTACACATGACAAGTGGCAGGGGCGCGGTGGGCTGATTAGCGCGGGGTTATCTGGGAGCGGCTGGAAGCTGGCTGGGGCAGATAATGGCAGCTGGGAGACCGAAATGCCTCCTGCGTGGGAGAAGCAAGTTTGGAGAATCTTTTAGAGCAGAGGGTTGGTGATATGGTTTCCTAAAGGAAAGGAGATAAATGCCAAGTGCCATTGCCTTCCCAGTACAGCCACGACTGACCAGCGGGCAGAGGCAGACTCACCAGGGAAACTCTTAAGCCAACAGGGTTGGAAGGAGGGCCCTGGAGCTGGATTTGGAAGCAGGACATGGGCTGGGGGAGAGGACCCAGGGGACACAGCCGATGCCCTGGCATGTGGGGGGCTGTTGGGAGATACCCTGGCAGCCCCCCACCCCGACATGCTCCTCTGCAGAACTGTTTGTATTGCAGGGTCTGTGTTTCCCTGGAAAGATCTGTTCTTGACTCTGAGAGGGGTGGAAGGAAGGGCCGTGGGCTGGAACAGCCGTGGGCAAGACAGGAAGTCAGGACCCAAGGCCTCTATTACTGATCTGCTGTGAGATTCTGGGCAGATCACTCAACCTCGCTGGTCCCAGGCTCTTCCGTCAATCAACAGGGAGCGCAAACTCTGCTCTGTAAAGAGGAAAATCAGTGATTCGGAGAAAGGGCTCTGGAACCTGTGAAGTGTGGGCGCTGCTGGGATTTGTGGAGGCTCCGTTGCCCCATCAGTGTCCATCACCAGGCCTGGACCATCACAGCAGCTGTGTGGTGTCGGAGTCGGCCAGAGGAGGCCAGGCAACCGTCCTGCAGGCTCTCCGCCCGCAGCCTCAGCTCCCAGCTGGGAACAAGCCTTGCCCTGCCCCTTTCCTGCCGAGTGACCTCTCTGAGCCTCAGTTTCTACTTTTCTGTGAACTGGGAGATCTATACCTCTCTTGGAGAGTTGCATTTGGGTGAGATGAGTTATAGAAAACATAATCAGGAGTTTATTTAATTCATCAGTTTAACTCATACAGAGAACAAAATGCTAAGCACTTTCCGAAGCTCTTCACTGATGTCAACATGTTTAGTGTTCAGCATAGTCATCCTGTGGGTAGTTACTGTAGTTTTGTAGATGAGGAAACAAGGCCCAGAGAGGTGAAGTGAAAGAATCTCAATTATAACTCAGGCAGACAGACTGGCACTTGTGGTCATTCATTCATTCAGGCATTCGTGAGCATCTACTGTGTACCAGGCACCATGTGGGCACTGGAGATGTGGAGGTGAACCAGGCCCGGTCCTTGATCCATACATGCATGGAGGAAACCGACCAGCTGGTGAGCTTTGTGTGGAACCCATCTCTGCCCACCCCTTCTCATCCACATGCCTCGCTCAGTACCCGAGACCTAGAGAGCATTTGCATATGGCTGTTGGATAAGTGAGTAAGTGAATAATTGAATTAAAGAAATAAAATATTTGGAGAAGTAGGCACTGTCTGGGGCTAGAGGAGGGTGCCAGGATCCTGCCCTGCTCCTCCCCCCAGCTGGGCAATGGCATTAATGTGGGGGGCACTGGGGTGACGCCTTCTTCAGAATCTTGCCTAGAAGGTTGGGCCACAGGGCTACGGGTCCAAAGCTTCAGGCCCTGTGGCTCCTTGGCTCTCTGCAGGGACACCCCTCCTGGCCCTGGAATGAGGCATGAGCTGGGTGGAGATGGTTTCAATGGGACGTTTGGAGCTAGGACTGGGAACAGGCTTAGAGAGGGCTTAACCACAAGCCCTGTGCGGACAGAGCGGAAGAGAGACCATTCTCAGAGTGAGTGAACAACATGTGTGTATCTTGTTTCTGCTGCTTCTAAAGGAAACCCCAATGCCCCACGCCTCTGCTCGGTGGCCATGTCCTGGATTCTGTGAGCCCACTGCACCGCCCCCCGACCTCAGCTCACTGGCCAGGGAGTGGTCACCACTCCCAAAGGAGGTTTTTACAATCTGGCTGATGACCCAGCCCCGACCCTGTGGACATTTGAAAATGCGGAGTGGCCTTTATTTATCTGTCACCAAGCCAGGAAATTAGAGGGTAGGATGCTAAACATTTATGGGGAGCAGAACATTCTGGAATGATGACCCTCCAGCCCCCAATCCAATGTAGTACCCTGCTGAGGAACACTGACTGGTGCTGGTCAGTGAGCACTTTGACCTGGGGAAGGTGGGTGAAGCGGTGAGAAGCGGCAGAGGTGGAACGGATGGTCGGTCGGGACGTGACGAGCCCAGGGCAGCTGTGGTGTGCTGACGTCCCCAGGGAGGAAGACCCGAGCAGGGGGGGCGGGGAAGTAATGGGGAGGGAGCGAGGGGACAGGAGGGAGAGACTGGCTGAGTCTCAGGGCAAAGGGCTGGAACCGTCACCCTGTCATGTCCAGAGTTGCTTTGGCTCTAGAACCACCCTCCCTGTCTGCTCTTGAGGCCTGATAGTTGATTCTCAAACCCCGAATGACTTGAGGTGACTTGAATGAGTTCTGTTCCTTAAACCCAAGAAAGATCTAATGAAGGATCTGAGGCCCTGAGGCACCACAGGCACTTATTCCCATTTTACAGACAAGAAAACTGAGGCCCAGGGAGGTTAGGTAATCTGCCCACTTGGTAAGCAGGGACCCTTGTCCTTATCTGTGCCTCTAAGGCTTTCTCCCTCTCACCGAGCGGGAAAGGAGTGTGGAGGGAGGATGGGCGGGGTCTGCCGTGCACCTCAGCAGCCCCGCCCATCTGCCTGCTCCTGCAGGGTTCCCTCGTCCCTCCCTTGTCTCCAGGGCTTTGTCACAGCAACTCAGAGCAGTGAGAACTCAGAGAGGTGAGCCAGCGGGATACAGTGTGAGAAGAAAGTGCTGAGCTATGGACCCAGGACTGGTTGGAACCCCTAAAGGCCAGACGTTGGCCCCAGAAGCCTAGGATGCAATGCACGGGGTTGCTGTGCCAGGCACAGGGCCTTGGACTCCTGGAATGTGCCCCACTCCACCTTCCCAGCCTTGCTCCTCTGTCCTGCTCCCAGCTCAAACAGAGGAGGAATACTGGGGACCCGGTGGCCCCCAGCGACTTTCCAGGATACAGTCTGGGAGAAGCCAGCTTGGGTGGGTAGAAATCCAGAGACTAGAGAAAGAAGGTGCCTGGTTTCAGTCACCAGCTTCTGAGATCCCTTTCTCTTTGCACGACCCCTGGCAGGTCCCCAGGTCTGAGCGTGGGATCAGGAGAACGTGCAGGGCAGCTCCTGAGCTCTGCCGCAGGTACGGGGTGCAGTGGGTGGCAGGTGGGGGGAGGGTGGCAAGCGGTGGTGTGCTGGTAAATGCTTCATAACCAGCTCCAGGGGAGAGGGCGTAAAATCCCTTATTTGTAACTTTTGCCACCTTCCGCAGCGTGAATGCTCCCACCCACGGCGGCCAGTTTCCAGCCACCTGTGTGATGTCACTAAACGTGGAGCTGGGAAGAGATGAACACAATCGGCTCTCACCATCAGCCGGAGCGAGCCAGCTCCGGCCCACCACTGAGGAGCTAACCTGCCTCTCAGCCTTTGCCGACGCTGTTCCCTCCACGTGGCATACCCTTTCCCTTTTGTCCCGGGTGAGCTCCTACTGATCCCTGGAGGCCCAGTTAAAGCATCTCCTTTCCCACAGAGCCTGCCTCAAAATTCCCACCTCCCACTAGGCCCTCAGCATCTGGCATCTTCTCCCCTGTGCCCCACGGGCATCCGTCCAGGCCTGTAATACACAAGTCTGCTGTGTGAGCTGGACAGAGAGACGCAGACTGGACAGGACGGGAGCTCCTGGAGGGCAGGGCCTCGGTGCCAGTCATCCTGAGATGTTCAGTGAGCACAGGCTCAGGAGGGAATGTGTCTGGGTGCTGGATGAATGAAGGACTCCGGGCGGAGGCCGCAGGGCTGCAGCAGAGGCTGGTGCGGACTGCGGGAGCGTATTTCAGCGGCAGAGCGGTCAGCAACGCCGGCACTCGCCACAGCCCGGCCCAGTGAGGTCAGAAGGCGTCTGGATCCAAGGCAGGGTGTCCGGGTGTCAGTGCCCCTTTGGCACAGGGATCTCTTTATTCTGCTGATCTCAGACCACAACTAATTATCCTAATGGCTTTAATGGCCCTAAATGTTCTCAGAGTTTGGACAGGACCCATCCGGAGCCGGCAGGTCGGCTGGCCCGGCTGACCGTGAGTGGGCGCACCGGCAGCGATGCTCTCGGAATCCAAAGGAGCCATTCTTGTGGTCGCGGGAGGCCCCAGACACGCGTGGGAAGTGTGGGCTGGGAGCCGAGGGTCCGCAGAATAAGAGCTAGTACTTCTACAGCTCTTCCCTGCCAGGCCCTGCTCTCCGCACCTAGGTTATTAACTCACTGGGTCCTCACCCCCATCCTGGGAGGGAGGAGCCATTACTACGCCCATTTTGCAGAGGAAGAAACTGAGGCAGGGTGGTTCGATTTTCTCCCCAAGGTCTCACGGCCAGTAAGCAGAGTGGCTTCTGTTCCTGCTGGCAGGTTCCAGGTCCCTACTCTTAGTTACACAAAATGTCACTTCTCACAGTGGGCGGGCGGGCCACAGAGACATCCTGGTGCCCCTCTGTACGGCCACACCTACAGCCTTAGGAAGGCAGGTCCAGCCTGGGTCTCCTCAAGCTGCAGCCCTGCCCCCACTAGGCTGACCTGGCTCCGAGGGAGCCCCACCCCGCCCCCACCAGGACCCGGAGGTACGTTACCAGCGTGGTGAATATGAAGTGGTAGTACTCGGTCATCATGCCCATGGCCATGGCCTGTGGGAAAGCAGAGTGTCAGCAAGCTGCAGGGAGTACGGAGCAGCCCCCACTCCTGGCCACCCCAGGGGTGAGGCCTGGGCAGCAGGACGGACTGGCAGTGGGTTGGGGATGGCTGGCCACTTGGAGTGGGATATTCTCTGAGACCCCCTCCAAACAGTGACCAAGACTGGCTGGCAGAGAGAGGTGGAGTCCACCCGGGAGTGAGAAGTAACATCACTTGGAGCAGACTCTTGGGCCACATTCTCCAAAGAGTCCAAATTCCACAGAGCGGGGCTGGGCCTGGCTGTCCATCTCTTCAGTAAGCATCTCTGGGCTGCCACAGAATCCACGGAACCTTCTCAGGTGCCCTGACGCCACTCAGCTGAGCTCAGTCCCAGCTTGAGAGAGGTGTTCAGGTGCCCAGCCCCCACCCGCCCCGCCGGGCCCGGGAGGAGGGTCCATCCTCCACCTCGGCCTCCTGGGAAGGGCTGGCCACAGGGCAGGCCGCGTGGCTGCTGTGGAGTTACTACACTGTGAAGTCTACATTACACACACTTGATGTATTTTATTAGAAGCCTATAATCTATAATACTAATGACCATAATGCATTTTCTACAGAGTTTCTCAGAAGGCTGGGCCCACCAAGTGCTCTGAGCTAAAAATGTTACCGTGTCAAGTACACTTAGAAAATGTCACACATTCTCCCCTCCTGCTTGGAGATTATGACCCACAACACAGGTTCAAGGTGCAGAGAAGTCCTCAGTAGGCAGACACACTTATCTTAGTTTAGTTTGGTGTCTAGCTGAGCCTAGAATCTTCATTTTAAATTATAGATGTTTTCAAGACAGACCTGAGAGTAAGTTCTGACGTGCAGGTTGGATGACCTGGGGCCCATTTCTTTCTCCTGGAGCCTCAGTTTCCTCACCTGTAAACCAGGCTCAGTAACCGACCCCACTTCCCAGCATGTACCTCGCTCAGAGTGACTCCTTGGTAAACCAGAGTTGTGACTGTCGGTGTTACTGTTACCCATGCCAGGGACAGAAGGGATGCCCTGGGCACAGGTGGCCGGGAGAGTGGGGGCTGAGGGATTTCTGGGGAGCGGTGTCTCCTTGACAGCGACTTTAAAGATGCCCCCACCATGTGTCGGCACCAGGATACGCTCTTCCCTGGCCTCATGTCCCTGAATCCTCCATGACCGTGGGAGGCAGGGACCACTCACCCCACCCCCAAAGGGACAACTCCAGGCCCCTTGCACTTGGCAGAAGGATTCAAGGTCCCCGACGAGCCTTTTCGTCACCGTGTGAAGGAGGCTGGTGTGGGGCTTCCTCAGGGGAAGGCAGAGACTGCCATCTGCTTGGGTACCCCTCATGTGCCCCGCTGAAGGGGGATTGAGCCCCCCCAGCCTTGAACCACTCCCAGCCCTCGCTCAGCGCCTCTTGCACTGTACCATGTCCCCTCCCAGACACCTGGTGCTCGAGGTGCCGTGTCCCCCGGAACACCCCTCCAGTGACCAGGGATGCTTTCTGGGACCACACCATTGCCTTTTACACACAGACTGGCTCCACTCGGAGCGTCTGGTTTCTCTGTGGCATCCTCAGAAGGGGTTGTGGGCAATCTGTCTTTCTTCCTCAGGGGCTGGCAGAGCTTGGCTCTCATTCCCAGCATGCCACGCCGGGCTGAGTCCAGGGCCGGGGCCCATCCAGGACTGGGGGCCTTCTTCTCCCCGACCGTCTCTGCAGAGCTGAGCAGAAAGTGTGAGGGAGCTCCACACACCTCCCAGCTGTGGGAGAGCAATGCCGAGTGCCGCGGGCTATGGGCATCAGCCCTGGACGAGGCAGTGCTGGGCTCTGGGGGCTGTTCCCGAGACCCAGGCCTCTGGGCTTCCTGAAGTGTCCTGTCCCACGTGGTGCCAGGCCCCTCTCTGCAGCCTCCCCCCCAACATGCACAGAGGTGGCACGGAAATCAGCATTTACTCAGCACCCTTCACGTGCCCAGCCTGGCTCTGGCTGCTCATCTGTCATCTTATTCCATCCTCATGCCAACTTGGACTGCAAAGACCACTGTGTCATTTTGCTACTGGTGAAACAGACTCAGAGAGGCAAAGGGACTGCCCCAGGTCACACAGCCAGCCAGGCAGAGCAGGGGTCCCACTGAGATCTGGCTGACATCACGCCTGTATTTGGGGAAAGGGAGGTGGGGAAGGCAAGCGATCCCCATCATTGGTCCCTCCGGCCAGCGCTCACGCACCTGCCTGAGGATCTGGGCGGCCATGGTGTGGCTGCAGTCGAAGATGATGCGGAACTCCCGGCCTCGCTTCATCTCCTTGAGCAGGGGGCGCGAGTCATCAGAGTCCAGGGGCAGCTGGCGGATCTTCAGGCGGATGTTGTATCTTGATGGGGCCATGATGAGCTCCTGCAGTCGGATGAGCCCTGAGAGGCCCCGGGTCACAAAAGACATGTGTACACACACGTATACACAGTAACCAGCACCCGCAGACTCGTGTATATCTACATGATGGTGGCCACAGGTCTGCAGATGCGGACTCATGGCCACAGAGACATGTGCAGGTGCATGGCGACAGCCACACATGTTCACGCACAGACATGAGCACAGTAGGGCACAGACATGTACACTCAGCTGTACACTCCTGCGCATGCACATAGAGGTGTGTGCACATACGAACATATGTTTACATGCATGTTGACAGACAGGGCATATGTTTGGGTTGATAAATATATGTGTATATATGTAGATCAATGTGTGCACACAGATATGTAGACACATATGACATTCAAAATAGGCATAGGCAGAGAGCAGATTCTCACTGACCAGAACGGGTGTAGAGACTTATGGAACCTGAACCAGATGCTACCCCCTCTTCATCCCCTGCCCCCTGCAACCTTGTGAGGCATGGGACACAATCTTCCTAAACACCCTTAGCAACCTGCTTCCAGGATGCGGGCACAGGGGTGGCTCCACACTCAACTGTACCAACAGTTGGACCAGGTAAGTCCAGGACGTATCTGTGCCCAGCCCCCACTCCCATCCCCCAGGGCAGACTCCTCCACGCTCAATGTAACCACCTCCTCCATGAAGCCTACCCCTACTGTTCTGTCCAGACAAGCTCTCCCCCTCCCCCAACTCGGTGGCCTTCTCCCTCAGCATTAGCCTCCTCTGGCCTCATCTCATTCCCCTGGTCCTGCCCGAGACTCCTTAACGTGAGGGGCTGAGTCCCCATGGCCCCTAGCACAGAGCCTGTCACCGGAGTGGTACTCAACACACATTTCCATAGCTGGACTGACTTACTGTTTTTCTTCCCACACGAAAAAATCCATCCTCCACCTTAGCATTTTGCAAAACCACTTAATCTGGGGACTTCCAGAGAAAACTAAATGTCACTTCCTAGAGACAAATGGCTTGCACAGGTCTAATTAAGTTCATTTCCGTCCCTATTTCAGGGTTCATTCTTGCTGATGCCTCTCTGCTTAGCCTGGAAGCAAGCCTGCTGGCAGCTCTCTCTCCCCGCAACCCCACTGCAGGGAGGGGCTCAGCCACACGAGGCCAGGGGCCCCACAGGTCCTCACCCACCACCACCGCCTGCTGGTCCCCCGCTCACATGCAGGGTCAGGGTCCGACCCTGGCTGCACTGTGCTCTCGGCCATGCTCCACTCCCCTGACAACAACACTCTAATTTTCCTTTGGGGAACAACCTGCCTTCTCTCTCAGTCCACGTGACCAGAGAGGCTCCATCCCCAGCTTCCAAGGCACAGCGTGTGTGTGGCCCCGGCTTGGCCAACCAGGCATACGTATGGGTTCAGAGATGGATATGGGATGCCAGCCGGTCCTCTCGGAGTGACTTCCAGACATGTGCTGGAGTAAATTTTCCAATTAACTCCACAGAAGGAGGAAGCAAACCTGGGAGTCACCACATGGAACCTGAGAAAGATCCCCATTCCTGAGGGCTGGGTGTCAGGAAAGCAATCTGATCAGTGTCCTTCATTTCACTGCGCTGGGAAGGACAGAAACATCACCCTGGGACCTAGGCCTCCAAAGAGCTCCCAAACGGGCCCTGCCAGGATCCAGGCGGCTGGGTTGGGCGAGGGCTCTGGAGTCCTGAGTGGCTGGATCAACAGGGGCCCAGCGCCTCCTACTACCAGATTTGTTGGGGAAGTGGACAGGAACACCAGTGGACCTCAGCAGAGGAAGGAGGGGACACAAGCTCCCCCCAAACTCACATCCAGCCTTCCCTCACCCAAGCTAATCTCAGCAATCCTTAGTGTGGCTGACTGCTGCTGCCCACTCACACTTGTTACCCCACAAGGCCCCGAGTGTACACTTTGCTCCCTCTTGCTCTGTGTTCCGACTCACGCACAGCGTCAACAGGCACACGGGCTTTCGGGACCCAGGACATGAGGACAGGGACAGCCTGGGTGCTGGAGCAGAGGCCACCAGAGTCTTCCTGTCAACCAAGTGCACTGCCCATGTGATATATAGTGACCCACATTCTCCAGCAGCACATGTCAGACCTCCTTCCCATCAGCGTATTCCCAAAGGAGACCAGAGGCTCGTCTCGGCCGACCCCAACAGAAGACTGGGCTCTTTTGTTTGCCTGAGATGAGCTTTCCTTCCTGGCTGCTTCCCTAATCAATCTCTCTCAAAATATCTGCAGTGAATCATGTTGTTGGAATAAATATCTGCAGTGAATCATGTTGCTGGAATCCTGCTTTTCACTTACAAAGCACTTCTGCACTCATTACCCGGCTTAACCATCTCCCTGTCCTAGAAAGCCTGCAGATTAGGGACTTTTGTTCCAATATTACAGACAAAGAAACTGAGGCCCAGAGAGGTTAAGTGACCCTCTCAAGGTTTTGCAGCATGCTAGCAATGGGGACAAAACCAGACATCCATCTTTTGACTCCTAGACCAAGCTATCTGGACATAAACCCATCATAAGTCAAGCAGCAGCGGTACTGTAAAAAGACAACTGGTATACCTCCTTCTACCCTGCTAAGAGAACCATGGTTTTGTTTGGGAGACAATGTGCCAGTCCCATGAGATGACTTGAGATTGGGAGGAACCGGTCAATGGCAATCCCAGTCCCATGAGACTGCTCAGGGTAGTGGGCCACTTAGTGAGCTGTACTGGGTGGTCTGCCGGAAGGTTCTGAGACAGATCTTCCTCCCTGATAAGGGGCGTGAGTCGCATTAAGAAACATCCCTTTGGCTCCTACCATACTTGACCCCTCACCCCTGCCAGGCTGGCCTCTTGATAAGACCGCCACGCACAGGCCCACCTAGGTTTTGCTCAGTCTATTTCCTCCTGTTACGCTCTCAGACCCCTCTTCTTGTCCATCGTCCGCAAGACCCAGCTCATGTCTCTTCTCTGGTGAGTCAGCCCAGACTAGCCAAGGCCACAGGACTTCCACGCCCCAAGAACCTTTGGCTCTGACTGTACGTACAGGTCACTCAGTTCTTAGCTCTGATGACCTGAAATGACCAGCGACCTCTGGGTGGGCACCCACTCCCCTACAACACGATTAACTTCTCAAAATGAGATGGTATAATTGCATCCTCATTTCTTCTTCCTTCCCAGTGTCCAACACAGTCTTTCCTAATAAAATTTAATTACACTTTATTTCAACTTGATTTTCAATTCAATTCAATTCAATTTAGTTCAACAAACCTTTACAAATATCTGCATTGTACCAGGCCCTGTGCTAAACCCTGCAGGCACAGAGAGCTCACGGACCATCATTCATAGTGGTATGTTACGAGGGATAAATCCGCAGGGCTGCGGAAACAGTGGAGGTGACTTGGAGCTGGGCAGGAGCGCCCCTCAATGGCAGAGACCTTGTGCGGGGGCACTGAGAGGGGTGGGGGTCCCTGCCCTCCAGGACCTGATGTCTGGTGCTTTGGGTACGGCAGGACCTCAATAGATGGTGGTAGAATCCCGAGCTACATCAACAACTTCGGAATGTCTTTTCCGAGCGTTCGATTCCCACTCCGCGTTAGGAGGTAATGGAGCTGACACTGAATCGCAGGCTGCCGAGAGCTGGAGGGCTCTTTCCAGTCTGGATGCTGCAGCTCTTTGTCTGACGCATGGAGAGCGGGGCCAGATGGGTTAAGTGACTTGCCAAGGTCACTCTCTCTTAAGAGATGGAGCAAGAAACATTTGGGACCTGAGTCTTTGGAAGGAAAGAGGAGAGGAAACAGCCTCGTACTGTCCAACTAGTGAGTTGGAAGCCTGCGCTCGGAGCCAGCAGGGCTGCGCGTGTTTGCTGCAGGTGGAAACATGTCCGTGGAAGAGAGCAGGCCGGTGTGGGCGCAGCTGTGCAGGTGCTGGAGCGGGGAGCGTGCTGAGGGCGGATCTGAGCCTGCTGCTGGGTGGAGGTGGGTGGACGGGGAAGGTGTGAGGCAGGTCAAGGTGGGCTGGGGGAGTGTGGCTGGTGCGCACAGGCTGTGAGTGAGCACAGGGACGAGCGTCCGTGTGACTGAGTGAAGCTTGAGTATGAGAGAAGACCTTTTTCCCGGGGGCAGCTGAGCTGGCGAGCAGTCAAGAGCCCCAAACCTTGGATTCTGCCCCTCCTGCACCCTAACCTGGCCTGGTCAGGCCTGGCCACCCACCTGTGCTGTCATCGTAGACCACGGTGGCCGACCGCCACTTGAGGTGCTGAACCAGGTCGAGGATGGCGTGGCTGAGAGAGGCGTAGTCGGGGTAGAGGTTCACGTAGAAGGTGTCTTTGTTGTCCAGTGGGTGGTGCTTCCAGCGGAGCTGGATGTGGGGCACCTCCAGGGCGTTGCAGATGGACTGGACGGCGTTGGTGCAGGAGCCCTGTGATGGCCCGAAGATCGCCACCACGCCCAGTGCCAGCTGGTCGCAGGCTGCAGCACAGGGAGGGAAGGCGGTGCAGGGGTCAGTGCTGGGTCTCCCCAGGCAGCTGGGGGCTGGGAGCACCGGGGGCAAGGATTGTGATGATCCCCTAAACACATGGGGAAAATAGCACCTGGAACCCTCTGAGGGTGGGTGACCGACAATCTCTCTGAATCGCCAGTTCCTCACCTGGAAACCAGGGTCGTGGGAAGTGGAACAAAATAATGCGTATGAGACCCTCAGCACGGCACTCGTGAAATGGAAACGATGGTTACTGTTGATCGTGTCATCGTGATTAGCACCTCAGCTCTGTACCATGCCCTGTTCCGGGTGGGAACTTGAGACACAAACAGAAATGAAATACCTACTTGCTATGACTTTTCAATTTAAACCTCCAGCCCAATCTGCTTCCTAGAATACAATGTGTATATTTCGCCCCTCACCCAACACTGCCGGTTGGATGTCTCAGAGGCCCCTCACACCTAGCGGGTCTACAACGTAACCCTTTCTTCTCCTCCCAGCCTCTCCCATGAGGGTAACAGCAACTCCACTGTCCACCCAGGGCCCTATACCAAAAACTCAGGTTCTGCCTGACTCCTCTCGTTCTCTCATACCCTACACCCCAATCCATCCTCAACTCCTGTGGCTTCACCTCTAAAATATATCAGAACCCGACCATGTCTCGCCCCTCCGAGCCTGGTCCAAGCCCCATCGTCTTGCACTTGCATTCCTGCAGAGGGGTCCTCACGCCTCCAGCTTCCTCAGTAACCTGCTCTACTGTCCACTGTGCACTCAGCCGTGGGCGTGAGCCTTCCGCCGCCTGAGTGGATTGCACCACTTCTTTGTTCCAAGGGCTCCCGCTCCACTCACGGTAAAAGCCAAAGTCCTAACCTTGACCAACAAGGCCCTACTTGTAGCTCCTCCACACCCCTGTCCCAAACATCACCCCCCCTACTTTTCTGACTTCTACTCCCATCCTTCTCTCCTTTCCTCACAGCACTCAAGCCCCACTGGCTTCCATGATGTTCCTCACACACACTAAGCACACTCCTGCCTCAGGGCCTTTGCACTTGCTGTCCCTTCTGGCTGGACTGTTCTCTCAGATCCACATGACTCTTCCCTCTCCTTTCCTTCAGGTGTCTGTGATCTTAATAGAGAGGCATCAATGCCCAACCCATAATAACAATCCCCATCCAGCCACACTCCCTCAACTCCATACCCTGCCTTATTTCTTTATTAAATGACCACCAGAAGTCTTGTTCACTTGTTGATTTCTCCTCCCACTTGAACCGCTCCAAGGAGGCAAGGGCTTGATCGATGCGGTTGATTGCTGTATCCACAGTGCTTTAAATAGTACCTGGGCTGAGTGAACGAATGCTGACTCTTTGACTTCAAACAGTTCACATTCTTGGGGGAGGCCCAAGGGCTCTGGCAGATCAGACAACAGATACTTCTGGGAAGATCAAACATCAGTGGGCACAGCACAGCATGAAATGAGCAGACCCAGGGCATCTAGGGCTCAAAGAGGGATGGAGGCTCTGACAGGGACTGTGCCTGAAAGATCCATAAAATGAACCTCTCAAAGGTGTCAGGGGGAGGGCTCCCCAGGAGCCATTGCCATTTCTCCGGGAAACTGTCTCTATTCTTCCTTTGGGCTCCACTGCCTCTTCCACTCCCAACCTATGAGGGGTGGGCTAGTGACAGACCCTCGGCTGACCTCCCCCAGGGCAGAGCCATTGGTTTAGAGAGTGGCCATGTGACCAGTCAGAGCCAAAGGGATGCCGTGAGACCTCTCAGGCACAGAGAAGGGGGCACATTCCCTCTGACACTGGATTTGGAAGGAGGTAAAATCTGGACGTACCATAGCCACCTTGTAGGCACAAAGAAAGTGTGAATGGAGTCAGTGCACAGGGGAGCAGAGCCGAGAGAGAGAAACACGAGTCCCTGATCAAGTGGAACCCTGGAGTTTGCATGGACCAATACACTCTCCTTTTGCTTATGCCAGTTGGGATTTGGTTTTCTGTTACTTGCAACCAGAGGAGCCCTAACTGAAGAGCATCAGCAAATGTACCAGCCTGTGGCCACAAGAATGAACGACATGCACTTGCATGAACATAGGATGATGCACGAGGAAGTGAGACAAGTGCCTAAGCATGATACCCACTGGACTCAGGTGCAGCCTGACTGCCTTGAGGGCCTCTGGGAATGACCGACTGGGCTTAGGTCCACCCCTAACATCTGCAGGGTCCGGGACCAGAGTACAAGTGGAGGTCTATATACCATATGGCTAAATAGTTAAGTGTTTTAAGCTATCAAACTGTTATATAACATATGGCCTGCTCCCCCACCTTGACAATATGCCTTCAGAACAATTTGGAAAGTCAGGACAGAACAATCTGGAAAGTGAGGATGGAGACTTCTCATATACAGTGACATGGGGAGAGGTGGCACCAACCCCTATCCTGTCCCCTTCTCTTTGACCACTGGCTCCACTGTGTATCACAAGGGGCCTTGCACTTTCCATGTGGACATCCCAGCCCTTACGCTTGAGCTCCGTCCACACCTCTGCAAACATCTGCCCCTTGGTCATCCTTAGATAGGTCCTTCGAGTGCGACCGCAGCAGCATGGCTCCCTCTCTGTAGGACAGTCCAAGGAAGAGGCTCCTGCAGGGCCACTGGGCAGCACATTCAGGGTTCTAGATACATGGAGCAGAGATAAGAGGGGCAGAGCACCCTAATGGGCAAGCCCCCTTGGTCCCACCGACCCCTTGTTCTGGGAGGAGATGTTACCAGAAGAGGACAAGGTCAGCATCTCTAAAGCACAGGCCCTGGGAAAGGGAGCCTCTGGCCTGGGTGAGGGTGGCAGCAGTGGGTCCAAGGACACGGTGGTTTCAAGTCAATCAGAATGTGATGTGTGGTCTGTGCATGTCTTTCCTTTCCACTGACATACACTCGCTCCTCCCTCACTGCTTCCTGGGAATGAGAGATATCATATAAAGTGTTCATTTTTCTTGAAACTTGTTCTTCCCCCCCAAAACACCAGAGAATTCCATTCATGGCCTAAATGAAAGATGCAGCACTCCGGGGGTTGGGCGAGTTACTGTGAGGAGTCTGCTGGAACCACCTGGAACACGGGGCAGGGCAGCCATGTATGGGGAACAGCGGGGCCAGCACAGAGAGCATCTCCAGGGTCGCCAGGGTTCCTCGTGGCCAATGCCACGTGCAGGAGAGGATGCACAGTGGGCATGTGGTGCCTTCCTGGTGCTCCTACAGCGGTGAGACTGGAGGCCAAGTCTGGGAAGCACTGTTTTGTTCCTGTTATTATCACCCTAGGGTCAATAATCCTTGGCAGCATTCTGTGTGACTGTGTGAGACAAATCCCAATGATAGTAAACCCTTCAAAAATACGAACTCTGGGTGTGTTGGTAAATTGTCCAATTTAGGGACAGTTCTTTTCGGTGCCCCTGTCCCTGACCTGTACGCTCACTGCTGTTCTTCTGCTGTCTGGGTGTGTCTGCTGTCACCACTTTGTCCCGTAGCAGGTGCTGTCTGAGGAGAGAGCCCATGTGTGAGTCTGTAGCCATGGAGGTCGGACACTAACATGTTGGAGATAGTGACATTGAGTAAGTGACAGCTGTCCAGGCTTGGTCCACCCTTCCTGCCCAAGCCAGAGGCCATAGGAGCCTAATAGAATCTGTAGGTTTCCCTAACGCCCTACCTCCTGCCTCTATTTTGAACCTTCTAGCTGTTCTCTGATATCCCTGGCTTCCATCCCAACACCTCTCTCTTTTCCCTCTAGGATCTTCCAATTGGTGATCTAGTCAAATGGCTTGTGTGTCTCATTTTCTCTCACTACCACCTCCCAGAATCAGTGTTTTGGGTTTTCCCCCTTTTATCTAGATCTTGAAGCAGGCAGGCAAATGCTGCCCTGCAACCCCACCGGCACCCAGCTCAACCTCTTAGATCACGGCCTTCTGCAGGCCCGAGATCTGAGTATCCCTGTTTAACAGAGGCAGGGAAGAGTGAACCAACCCCACATTAGGATGAAGTGGAGGACTGTAAGAGTGATCTTGAAGGAAGTAATTTAGACGTTGACATTGATTGTAGTGATAATGGTAAAGGTAACTGCAATGATAGTTGTGACAGGGAAGGCCACATTGTGGGGCTGTTGATGATCCTGGTGATGCCATTAATGAGGGTGGAATTGATGATAATGTTGATGTTGTGACATAATGGTGGGATGATGATGATGGGGTTGATGATGATAAATATGTCAACGCCATGGCAGTGACTGTGATGATGATGGTAGACATAATGATGGCAATGTAAATATGGATGAGAGGAGGGGATAACCATTTTGATGATGTTGATAAGACTGGGGATGATGAAAAATGCCAATGCCATGACTGCAGCAGTGATGATCATGGTAGAAATGACGGTGGTAATGTCAGTGATGATGAGATTGGTGATGACGGAGATGCTGCAGTCATGGCCATGACAGTGATGACAATAGGGTTGGTGCTGGTGGTGCTGATGTGAAGAGTGGAGATGAAACCACTGTTGATGGTGATGACACTCATTGTGTTGATGGTGCTCTGGTGTTGATAGTGGTGACAGTGGTGGTGATATGATGACCACCCTGGGTGTCATTCTGCCAGAGATGTAGTGATTAGATCTCACTGTTGAGTGGCAGGAAGCATCAGTCCTACCTTCTACCTAGTTCTCCTCCTTAGCCTCTCTTCACATCCTTTTTCTCGTCCACTTCTTGTTCCCTCCACCTTCTAATAATCTTCCAGTCTGGAAGAGCACTGTTTTCTCAGGGGAACCAGGGCAGGGGTTATAGCAGCAGCAGCAGCAGCAGCAGCAGCAGCAGCAGCAGTAGCAGCAGCAGCAGTAGCAGCAGCAGCTTTATCTCCAGATGTTTCCAGGGCAGCAGCCAACCCTTGTTCTGGCAGCCCTGAGCACACACTGCAGTAATTACATTATTTGTGGCTTCAATTTTAAATCCATT